TCCCTTTAATCATCAAACTTCGTCCAACCCTCGATTTCGTCGCCAACTGACTCTCTCTGTTCTGTCCTACTGTTATTCTTTCTCTTTTCTTTTTCTGTGCTCCTCGTTGGGAGTGAGATTGACGACAGTGATTTGATCGCGCTACTGTGCGTTCTGGATAGTTCATTGAAACGCCCGAAACAATCTTGTCGGCGATCCGATTTTACTTTGTCTCGAGAATTTGAAGTTTATTATCGAGAATTCTGAAGTAGATGTAGGATACTTCAGAAATTACGTTAATATTTAAGAATAATATTTATTTGTAAACGGAATGTGAGCCCGTTGGTACAATATACAAGTACATGGAAGTTCAGAGAACAAAGAAATTGTTTAGATACATACAATAATGCGTAAAGATGTACCAGAGTTTATAAAGTTATAGTAACTGTACAGAAAGTTTAACAAAATTCAACAGGAAAAATTTACAAAAGTATTTACAAGAATATGCAGAAAGTTACGATTTTGTAGAAAGAAGTGTGTAATTATTGATGAAATAAATAACGGAATAAAAATGAAATACACCCCGAAATTAAACAATTCGAGGAACTCACCCCCGGAAATTTCTATCGTAATCCCGTACACGAGCTTCGACATTTCCGAAAATAGAAACAAATTGTAGTATCCACCGTTGAATCCCACGAATTCCCGAATCTCTGCCAGTTTTTAAACTTTGCTCCAATGCTGTGGAAATTCACCGGCGAGGAATATTCGCGGTGAAGTGTAGTAGGATCCACGGGGATCGGTAGGTGCGAACTGGTCGCGCAAACGGCTTCTGTATAGCTATCGGCGTCCCAGAGAAGGATAAAGGGAGAAAGTGGCCGTGGAACCCTCCTGGAAAACCCGAAGCAATCACACTCGGACACGAGGGGGCCGCTAATTCGATTACTAAGAGCGCTGCCCTCTTGGCCTGATCCAGCGAAAACCACCCTTAACCCCCAACCTCCACCCCAGTTTTTCGCCACACCGTTCTAGGGCACGTTGATGGTCGTCGGGGGTCCCTGTCCTCTTTCCCCCCATCGCGGGACGAACAGAGATATCGGAGCCATTTAGACGTATAAAAGCGGACAGGACAAGCCCGCTTAACCCCCTGGCAGTTTGTCGCGTATCCCGTAACTGCATATGGCACGCAGCCCTGTGCGAGCTCGTGAATAAATGAGCAGCAGTTAGATTGGAGGCTTAAAAAGAACCGTGGGTAGAGATACACTTTCTTCGGTAGTTTTGCAGGAAGGTGTTCGAACCTCTTGATTCGTAGAGATTCTGCATACATACAGAAATCAGCATAAAGGGAGCTCTCGTGGAAGCAATATGTCTCAAGAAGACCGAAAATAAAGAACAATGGTCGAAACGACGTAAGAAATATCCTCGAGAGAAAAAGAGGCGAGCGTCGCAGTAGATCACCAAGGAGTTCCTCTCAGGCCACTTTGCCTAACTTGGCGTCGATCTCACCCGAATCGATCCATTTTCGCGCGGGTTTCCTCCTTCCCGACGATGACCCTTGGCCAGAGAGGCTCGCATGTTTACGGCTTTTAGGGCGCAAGTTTTTGAGCTATGGCGATGCTCCAGCAGAATTACCGCGCCGTAACGCCGGCCGAATGTTTCTTGATATTTATGCTGCCTTCCTCGGAAGACCACTTCCAGCTTTCTGTCTTGAGGATATAGATTTAGTGTGTAAAGCAAAATACCTGGTATCGTATTATAAGAGAAAGATTGCGTTGTAAGATTACTCTGTTCAAGTTATTGTTATAATTGTGGATGAAATGTGCATCGAGTGCTGCCCATTTTCGAGCGTGACATCGACTAAAAGCTAGCAAGCTCGTGTGGATTTCAAGATTTGACAAAATTGTTTAATTAAATTGTGAAAAAGAAATATACGTTTCCTTAGGTCAACGTGTCAACATCTCGACAAGGAAATCTTTTTTACAAACAACAAACAGAAAACTCCCTGAAATCATGATAACAGTCCGTATATCGGAGTTTCGACTAACTCTAGTTCCGAAAAGAATTCACCGAGACCCGAGGCCGTCGCTTCTTCAACCTCGCGGTTATTTATGGTTTTACTTTCGCGCGTCCGATGGCTGCCGGCCGGGCAGATTGCTTTTTGATTTGCGCTTAATCGGGAAAAGTTATGGGCCCCCGAGAGATACGGTCGACGGGGGCAGAGGGGATGGAGATACAGAGGGGAATAGAGTGAAAGATAGAGGAAGATAGAGAGAGGCTGGTCTCTCCACCCTCTCGGAAGCACCGCGTGTTAGGGGGCGTACACAACTAACGCGGCGGGCCGCATATTAAACCATAAATTCATGCGAGCCCCGGCCGCAATAGACGCCGGAGTTATCGGGTCGTGGAGCGTGCGTGGCGTGTTACTTGAACACGTCCCGTTTTTTAACGCGATTTTCATTTGCCCCGGCTCGCTTTTCAAACCAATTTCCACTGGTGTCTCTGTGTGTGTAACTTTGTCGACCAGTCGCCACAGATTTGTAGGTATCTGGCTGGTTAAAAATCGTTTACGTGTGTAGTTTTCATTCGATACATAAAAAAAAGCTTAGTTTTAATGTTTAGATATATAGGAAATTATCGATAAGTGTTCGAAGGGTTCTCGACACTAACAAGGGATGAACCATAAATGTCCGACTTCGACTTGCTGTGACGAGTGTACTCGACAAAAGCAGAATAAGTGCATGTGCTGTAGAATTGAAATAAATTCTAATAAAATCACTTTAACCACCCCTATCAAGATGACGAAGAAAATATGGAAGCTTCGGATCTCCAAAATGATTTGTAATCGGGGAACATTAACATAAACATTAGAAACGTAAGATCGAAATTCCAGGTGAAATTTGAGTGAACAAGATCGATATTCAATGGATGACCTCGATCCGACGGAGAAAATACATATGAAGAGGGCCTGAGAAGGAAAGCGCAAGTGGCGGACGCTGAACGGCCGTTATTGAAGTCGACTTGGCATGTGGGTAAAACCAATGGTCGCCGATGGTTACGTTGCGAACGGTCAGCTCTATATCCCAATCACTTCTGAGCTTTATTGGACGACGTTCCTGAATTATAAACGATGATCGAACCCTCCGAACGGATACGTGTCCGGCCACGAACTCGTACGGAGGTTCCTGACCTTCCTGCACACGGTCTTGACGAGCTTGGCAAACGAGCGATATTCCCTTTACGATCCACCATTGTAGTCCTTTGGTGTGCCATCGAGACAACCGTATCGATGCCCATCTTAATTCGTGACGCAACAGATGGGACCTTACGACTCGGTTTTTCATTATTTCAGTAATTATACCAACTTTGATAACTATTAAACAAAAGTCATTTAAACTTTTATTATCATATTGATGAATTGGTATTTACACAATGAAAATAGTTTACCTTTATTTGGTTTCAATTGTGTATAAAGATTAAATAACCTATTTTCAATTCGAAGTTAATTGTAATATATTACGTTAAATACTTTCAATTGTGTTCTACCGAACAGTATTTCGATTCGAAGTTGCAATCGAGATTCCATTTGAGAAGTAAGTAAATGAATCAGTTAAAGATTTCAGAATCGAAGAAACCCAAATCTGTTTCGGTCTTCTTCTTTTATAGAATGTTCCTGGACCGTTAGATGCACCGAGTTTTCGACATTATTCTCAACCGAATATGTTTAAGGGAAGAAAGAAACTTCTATTTTTGTTCCTATCTTTCCGAATCGCTTTATAAAATGTGTAATAGATCTCTATCATAATTTATTTGTTCGTAATTTCCTCTTACCTTTCGCAGCTTCTTCCTGTCCCTGGATCAACGACCGCGAGACCTGCAACGGCAGCTTCAGATCCGTCTTTGCGTCCCCATGGACGGCCTGACCTTTCACCTCGACGCAGTTCTCCGGGCTCGGTGTTCGATCCCTCGATATAGGGGGTGGCGATGGACTGCAACCCAGCAATTTTCTTACAGACAGCTTCAGCTCGGGTGTCTTGAGTGGCGGCAGGCTCTCGACGGTGTTCGGTGTGTCTTTGATCTCCTTAGTCTTGGTCGTGACGGAGAGGTCTTCCGGTTGAAGGCGGGCTTCCGGCGACGGCGGCGGCTCCTCGACGCTGCTACCGTCGATGCTCGACGGCTGCTCCTGTGCGGATTCGCGGGCCGACGAGCCGGCATCTGGAGAACGGACGGCCTCGATCAACCACTGAACTACAGACTCCTCTCGATTATCGTCCCGAATTCAGGGTCCGTGTCGGGACAATAATCGCGTAAGGAGAAATGCTTCAGACTTTCGTAAATTCGTTTTTTGCCCGAGCCTCGGAAACAAAAGGGAAGGGGCAACAAAATATGACAGGTCCCATAACGCCTGGACAATAATCGTGTAGAACCAGCCAGACGATAATCGAGAGGAGTCTGTAGTGGTTCTGAATGTCGAAAGTGTCCACGTTTATCGAGATTATTAGAGGAGACCGGATCCTTTCGACGAGGAAGCTACTTTTGGGTTTGGAATGATGCTGAAGAAATTATCAATGGGAGATTCTGGGATATACAGCTGAACGGAGGAGCTGTTTCGTGACGATACGGAGAAATGTTTGACGAGGATTTTGAAGATGTTCGACGAATTGCATTTTATTGTTTAGAAGAAGAACTTGCCCAACAGGGCCGTAGTCGCCACGATAGAAGAATTCTAGATAGAATGGAGACGACTTTCTCAACCTGAAGATTCGAAGAAGTCTTCTAACCTACGAAAGTATAGAGGGTGGACCACGAAACGCAATCAGCTTAGATGATTCTACTGCTAGCTGTTTGATCGAAAATTGTAGATGCATGCTTAACCATCAATGCAGACGTCGGAAATAAAACTAAGCAATCGTTCCCTAACCGTTTAGACGAAAAGCAAATCCTTTGTTATGACACTTGCCTAATTCAGCTCAATATCCGCTAATAGATGGGCGTAAAGAAACTACAAACTAGGATTTATTTTTTAGCATGGTATAAATACAGCTCTGAGCGTACGATCTTAAGCCCTCCCGCCGGCAAAGTGTTAACCACTCCAAATACACATACGTAAACAGTACATTTTACAGTGGTTTTACAGTTACACCATGCAGTGTATATTTTTCATTTTTTAAGGATCAACAATTACGATCACAGAATTGTGATTTCTGCACACCATCCCTGTTCAACACCGAATTCCCAAAGCACCTCCTACCACAGATCCGTCACATTCAAATCTCCCGAAGACAGTCCCAAGTATAGATACCCAAATCCCTAACTCATGCACCCAACATCCAGCCAATCGTCGAACCAAATCGCACAAAATCACAAACGTGCTTCCCGACGGAAGAAAAAAAAACCGGTCCCCACGTGGTCGATTGTTCCTGTCGAGGCAAGCCCGCCCAGTTCCAAGGATCAAAGGACAGAAATCACGTACTGCCATCGTTCTCCGCCGGATCACCCAGTAGATGCGCGACACTGAGCGTGATCCTCGTGGACGACGGTGGCCTGTCCGCGGTTCGGCAGGTGTGCTCGCCGCAGTTCGGCAGGCTCGCTGTGTCGAAACTCTTCGAGACGAACTGGGCGAGCTGCTCCATCCTCGGCGTAGAGAAGACACGCGCGACGACGCGACGGCACGCGTCGACCTCGAGTCGTCCGAGGCCCGAGAGCACCGAAGGGGGCTCGACTCGTCTGATTAGGACCTGCTGGAACACTCGTCGTCGCGTCGTTGCGTCTCCACGCGCGTCCCATAGGACGCCATTCGGTCGCCGGCCAATCGACCGTCCGATGGGCGGTCCCAGCCACGCCCACTGATCTCCCTGTTTCCCCTCCCCTTCCACCGCCCCGCTGCGCGCAGCTTGTCTCCGTTGCTCTCGCTGCTTATCTTCCTCGCTCGCGCTCCTTGGCTCCCTTGCTCCTGCTCGTCCTGTATGCCCGTCCCCCTTCGATCCCCCTCCCCCTAGTCCCGCCGTCCGCAGTAAACCAACGCTCATTAGCATTTGCGCCCGCTTTTCCATCCCCAAACTACCTACCCACCTACCCACGGGCGGCGACCAGACTACGACCAGCGGATAGACTCATCCCTCCCGCGCCCAGTCGTCACGCTCGAAATTCACCCCCCAACTCCCCCTTGAAACACTGTCCCTCCACCATTACTCGCAACACTCGATGTCGCTCCTCTGGCCACAAGCGTTTCCCGTGTTCCCTGTCAAGCTTATAGGAGTGTTAGGTGCGAACGGGCCCGCGAATCTGTCGACGCTGTTTGCCACGGGAATATGTATTGTATGTAGGTGCTTATTGCACGGAGCTGATAATCGATTTAAAATGATTTTCGGCTGGTAATTCGGCGGCGATAGCGTAGGTCTCTGGGAAGGGGTGTGGCCTTGGAGCGGTTCGTTGACAGGGGGAGGGGGGTTGGAGAGGTGTGTTTTTTTTTACGAGATTGACAGACGGATGTCGATCGGGTGGGATGGATGTTGCGGTGGTTCTTGTGGGATGACCTTGGTGGAATTCGGCGCGGTTTTTGGGATGTACTGTGACTCACAAGTTTGTTCAACGGATGGCACTTCTGTTTGCAAAAATGCATGTATTTGTGTGGATTCTTCCGTCGACCATCTTTTTGACCAACTTTATGTTAAGTTATGGAGTATCGGGATGTGCCAGAATATACAGTATATCCTCGATAAGTGTTCGAAGGCTCCTCGGCATTGAATATTAAATATTTCATAAACTAATGGCCATATACGGCTGAAACGAATGTCACTGGCAACAGGGACCATTTTATGGCGAGAAGGATCCACAAAATTGGCGTGGACGTTGTCACGTCGAAATGACCGTGTTACAGCAACCCCCTTGCCGCCCCCTCACGCAATCGGCTCGCGTAGGGGGACGGGACGGGGCCGTGTCCTGTGTTTGCCGGTCACCAAACTCGGCAATATTTAAATGGGATTGCGTACGGGGTTGTAATTGCTCGGGTAAACACGGTTCCCCGTCGCCGGCCCGTGGAAACATCGGATAAACGTTGTCCCAGAAAACCAAGTCGATCGAACGAGGGGAAAAAACGGATTGGACGAGTGGATAGAACCTTGAAAAGTGACACAAGATAATTGTGGAAAAACGAAGAGGAAGCTGTGAAACAATCGAATGTAGACCAGATGGAACATAATCTTTTCGAGTAAACTATTTCTAGATAATACAGATAACATCTCTATTATCAGAATTTCCAAGTGTAGTTGCCCGTGAAATCTTTGAATCTTGAAGTGTTAAATTGAAAATAAAGAAAATAAAATAACTCGAACGGTCCCTCAGATCTCCTCGACGCCCACCTTGGGAACCTAGTGGGATTGATTTTATCCTGGGACCATAGATATCTACTACTTAGATTCTAGTCACTTCTGGTGTATATACACATTGAACTTCGGCGAAGTATCGTCGAATCGGTGGATAATCAGTCGATCAGAAAAGAGTACATACCAAGAGGTATGTGAGGAGATAAAAGAAGACCAGTGATGGAAATGTATTCGAACACGTCGAGGATTGAACGACGCTCGAGTGTGGCGTCAGGTGGGGTGAAAGACACCCCAAAGAATACAGATTGAACGAAGAAGGTACCAAGCAGAAGATAAGGCGTATATACACAGGAGAAAATTAATCGGTGGAACAGAGATATCCACCCGTTGAACGAAGGACATATCCAGTTAAAGGTGGAAGAGAGAAAGAGAGAGAGACCGTGCACGAGAGGGAACACCACATCGAGGCATCGAAACGGTGTAGGGGAAACGGTCTATAACGCAGGCAGACGGAGCCAATCAGGGCGCAATGCGATTACCTTAACGAGAAATCCGATTACTTATTCATTCGCCTAACTCGAAATCAGTTTAACTAATCGTTTAATTCGGTAGTACCCCACCGAGCGTTCCGAAGCCAGAGAGACACGGCTTGTACGTGTACGTATGCGTGAAAGAGAAAGAGAGATAGGCTGATAACAGAAAGTGCAAGAGGGAGAGCGAGAAGGACAAAGTTCTCTCTCTGTGGGGAGAAGATGGGGTCGCGTTGGGTGTGGTGAGCAATAGGGGGATGGTTTCCCCATTCGAACGCGGGGTGGAGGGGTGGACAGAGATGGGCGCGCACACGCGCAACCACCGCGTTTCTACACGTGCTGACGACTCGCCTAGGGTGACAGAGAGAGACAGAGAGAGGGAGTGAGAGACTACCGTAGAGATACTCGGTGGGGAAACAGTCTGGTAGGAGAGAGGCCTCATTCAATTCAATTACGTAATGAATTGTCGTGTCTTGAGTAAACACCCTTCCTCACCGCGACTCGCCGCCGGAAAATCTGGAGTAGGGGATACACCTAACCCCCTCTGGACGCGTAGGGAGGGGAGAGGGGTGTCGCCCATGTGTACGGGAACGTCTACAGAGTTGTTCAGGTAGGGTGAGACTCCGTTTGGGGCGAAGTACAGCCACTTGCGATGGATCGGTTCAATGAATTGACAAATTTTTGAAATTTGTATTTCTATGTCCTTTACAATTATGAGACTAATATACAATATGTTGTATAATGTGTTAGGTTGCCCCCTCTTCTTGAGGAACAAAACTTATTTCTCACGATTAGTTAACTCTGGAAATATGATTTTCTAGCCGTGATGTATATGTCAAACTGGACATTACAGGGTTAAAAATAAATTTACAAAAAAAAAATGAAAAGAATAGATCCGGTTATTAACAATATTTTCAACTTCAAAGTAACAAGATTCAGTCCCATAATTTTGAAATAACGATATAACTATCTGGGTTAAAATCTAAGACCTGTTAAACTCCAAGATGGAGGATCCAGACCAAAGGGGTTGCAAATCAGTAGGTACGTCTGATTCGATTCTGCAATGGAACATAAAATTCCCATCACAAAATTACGCCAACTCTGTCCATCTTGGAGGAAAAACAAATTACCAATCTATCTACCCACAGATTGTTTGACACAAAATTATCGAAAGGTCAAAAGACGCCAGTGCTGAGCAATCCTGTACCAGAACGTCAGTTTCGGCACGGCGAATCAATCTGCACCGGCTCGCGAACGCTTCGAAATCTCTCGTTGCGTCTCCTTCGAGCCACCGCCGTGTTCTCATCCCTTCGAGTCCCTCGGTCCACCCCTTTGCCGGCCTCCCCCGTAAGCCCCCCGTTTTCTGTCGCCGCGTATAGCTCGGATGCGCGCAATATTGACTGTACATCGACGTTTCCGGCTTCCCTCTCGTCTCTCGTTTACAGAGGCGGTACGTATATCAGTAATTCCGGTGTTCTCCCCGGAATTAACAGGCCCGCCGCCAGTTCGATAGGGTTACCTGTGGGGTTTGCACAGCCACCGGAAACAGTCGACGATCAAAGGAAACCGAACCTGGGCATTAGCGGCAAACTCGAGTAAATCCCCTACTCTGGAACCGTACGCGCTAATTTTCTGTATCTTTTTTTTTTCATTAAAACGGATAAATTGTTCAATTCGTTAATTGAATACGTTCCATTTGATCGTTAAAGTGCCGATTCTTTCTAACGAAGGGAGTTCTGGTGTTGACTTCTGATTGTTACTATGATTAAATGTTCGTGTCACTTTTAAACATAGACATAGAAATTCGATTTTTCGACTACGCTTAATTTTAGTCACGAATGACAGGGACCTGCTTATCAAGCTTCCGGTCAGAAATTTGCGCGAGGCGACATATTTTTGTTTCATTTTCACCTTTCGAACCTAAATTCATAGATAAGTAACATATATACCGAAAGTAAATTTCCGATGTAACGTCAAAGGAGAAGGACGATTACTCGTCCGCACAATTATCATCACCATGGCATCCTTTCGGCCCACAATCCAAATTTCCAGTTTCATTTCTCCAAAGGTACGATCCCCCGTTCAGTACGCTGACATAGAATGTCGTTGTTCAGGAAAAAAATATCATAGGTTATGAATCTATTATCAATTTACAAGGATAAAGTAAAATCTTAGTTCGTCCAATAATGCTTTTATTAGGTAAGAAAGAAACTAAAGTCCATGTCAAGGCTTCACCATTCTTTCCACTATGTTAATGTATAAAATCCACGATCGTAACTATGATACAACCAAATACCGTAATTCCTCGATGAATGCGACACTAGCAACGGCGTTATTCCCACCACTGGGGGATCCTCCTCTGAAATCAATCAAAATAAAATAAACAAAAGCTACGCAGAGGCTCGGCTTCGGGTAAAAAAATTAATTTACAAGGGGTTAACGAGTACGTCGCACTCATTGAGACATTACTGTACATGCTAATTTCTTCGATCAACACAAACACGATGATCCCGACGAATAAATTAATTCTTCGCAGACCAGCACGTCTAACTCTCTATTGGTCAGAAAGTCCTCGTTAACGTTGATGAAAGAACAGGCTCGAAGTTTTTGGTTCAAGATCAAGCGAAAACCAGTCGAATACGGCAGCGGAAACTGCGGGAAACCGGCACCAACGCGAATAGAACCGTGCAAAGGGTGTCCTTCGAGGTGTCTCGAGAAAGGTTACGGTGAACCGACGGAACCGACCGAGAAGAAACTGTTCAGCTGCAAGCAAGGACCGATCAAGGAGAAGCCCAGCAACTGCGTGAAAGAGAAACCTATCGAGCAAAAGTTGACACTTTGGGAAGAGTTCTTCGGGCCAGATCCAAAGAGGTCCTGGCCGGATCCTTGCACCTGTCGGATCGCCATACATCAGAAACGGGAGCTCAGAAAAAAGGATCCGAGATTACTCGATCCACGGTACAAGAATACAGCCGGTGACGTTCTGGTGTACACGGAAGTGCTGAAGAAATGCAATCGTATCTGTTCGGAACCGCAACCGAAACCACCGCCGGCGTTCAGGCTACCGAAGGAGGTTCTGTACAGGATGATTAACGAGGGTTACGAGAGGGTAAGCTGCAATTGTGAAATTTTCATACGAAAGAAGGTGCGTGGAGTCCTGAATCGTAGATTTGAAACCTCGTGATAGTCGAATCACTAGGGGATTGCTAAGTAATAAATTTAAATACCGAATTGGACTGATTACTAGAGATTAGGGCTCTAAGAGATTGACCTATGTATTTGGGAAGTGTTAGTTTCGATAAAATGTTCGTTGGAAAGTGTATCTGCAATGGAAATTTTTCTGTAGAATCCGGTCGAGGAAGTCGTTGGTAACCAGGAAATGAACGAGAATTTCAAAAGCTCGGCATATCAGTTGCCGAGAGGGAATTCGAACCGAAGACGTCAACAGACTGATCGATAAAGAATCGAATGTTATGGCAGTTCATTCGACAGTTCAGCAAGCTTATTCGCAACAAGGATCGCGAATGAACGTGAGCAAATCACCTACGAAGATTGCGGAGTGTCCTCCTCAGGTGGAAAGTACCGCTGCGTTGGTCAATGTCGGTAGACGGTCTAGAGTGGAACAACTTAAGATACTAGTTCAAGCGAAAAGCGCGTTCCAATGCGCACCGGCGTTATAAATAAATTCATAGATACCGAAAACCGCCACGGCAAGACTAAAGGAAGAATAATATATATTTGAAATTAATTTCGTTTCCTGGACTTTGACAGTTAAAATATCTTGAACAATATTAAAAACCGGACAAACCAAGATAAAATTATTTTCAAACAGTAACAGATTTATTATTGTGTTTCCTTGAATCAATGTTGTAGATTAATAATTGTATGTTGTTGTGGTATTTTTCATAAACATTTATTGTTTCGATAGGTAAAGGGTGAAAGAGATATGTGGCGCCATCTGCGGCGAAATTCCCAAGCTACTAGCCAATTACTTTCACGTTCTCGTCGCGAGGTGGCGCTACCGCGCTTTCCGAGTGCTCGATCTTTACAACTTTGAACCTTAATTAATTCTCATGACTGGCAACTTTATTAAAAGTAGGACAGCTGTTTATCCAATTAATTTTATTTAAATTTCTCGGTCACTGATTGGTATTAAAGAACTGACTGTATTCTAGAAAGGAAACATGTGCAGTCGCGTTAAAGTTCACGCGGCGCTAGTGACGTGAGCGCATAGCTCACCGGTTACTTTTTGTATCGTATATAAAAAAGTCTCATACTAATTAAAAACATTACAATTGATAATGAACGTTCGCAATATCAATTCAGGGAAATACGATAATTAATCGAAGACCGTCGAGAAATATATTTAATAACTGCTGACGCAGTTTACCTGTATTTTTCAAAACATATTACGTAATTTGAAATATCACGGCACAAGAGAAAGCTGTCATTCTCGGTGAAGAGACTTTGACGTTGTCGGAACGATGTCGACGATCGTTTTAACCGTCAGTGTATTCGAAAATCGCGGGCAAATTGAATAAATCCGTTACCTCCAGAACCCACGCGAAGTTGTCATCATCGACGCACAACAGGGTTGTCGGACTACGTTCAACGGGGTTTTCCTTCGATGGCGGCGTTGTTGCTGTGTGTGGACCCCTGCAGAGCTGGCTACGGGGCAGTCAAATGTCTCGTAAAGGAACTCCCTCCGCTTGCAAGTCAAAACAAATCCCGCGAATCTTTCGTAATCGACGTGGTTTGTGTTCGGTTCGCGGTTGGCCGCACAGTGAGGTCGGCGTCGTGAGTGGATCCACGATAGGTTACGACGAATCGAGTCTTCTAGCCGCTACACCGGATGAGGATAAAAGAAAGGAGGCAAATAAAAAAGGAAAACATAAAGCGAGGGAGGACGAGGACGAGGAGGAGACAACGACGACAACGTCAACGATACGTTATCCGGAGAAGGTTTGGGTGATAGAGAGCAGTCAGGAGACGTGCGACAGTGTCGGGAGCCAGACGAACGTCGATCCGATCGGTAAAACCGCCGATGTCGAGACTGTAGCCGACATCGAGAAATGGTTAAAAACGCGCACCGAGTCCGTGTCGAGCATGGATCTCGACGCGATCAAGTCCGGGGTCGAGGAGGGCGTCGACCGGTACCTGGGCGAGGAACTCCAGCACGCTTTTCTGGAAAAGGACCCTGACGGTCTGTCAATCGACATAGATCTGTCCGACAAGAAACTGAATCTAGGTTATGATCCGTTGCTACAAGAGCTGCAGAGCGAGAAACTGCTCGACGCCTGCGAGAAGGACGGTTTCATACTGCCAGAGTTTCAGCTCGATCACTTGGACCCGTTGGCTCTGTCTCCGGACGATATGATGGTCGCCGGCGAAATTTTGCCGTCGACCAGCGCGCAACCAACCCTAACCGTTCCCAACAGTGACGTAGACGGGATATGCGTGGAGACGGATCAAAATTCGATAATGCGAAAGACCATGATTCCGGACGACCAAGAGCCCCATAGCAAGTCCGCGCAGGCTGTCATTGATAACCTGCATGTTATGGAGAATGTAAAGAAAGAGGATGACATTAAGTCCTCGAAGGACAATGGTTTAGGGGACAGTGCCACGAATCTCTATATGCAGGATCTCAGTACAGATAATGAAGTCCACGAACTGCCAAGCGAGAAGTTAGTTGACGATTCGGAGAATGCCATAATCGAACAGTTAAAAACTAAAGCTAAAGTCAAGCTAGAGCCTAGAATTATTAAGAGACGCAGGAGGATATCGGGAACTGGGGAGAAGAAGTTAGATAGTGAGATAAAAATAACCGGGGAGGATTTCATAGACACCGAAGACGGTGTCATGGCAGTTGTAGCAATATCTACAGATAAGATTTCAAATATGACACAAATTGTTATAAACACTGGGACAGAGGAACAAATCTATCAAGGAAGGACATCAGAACTTATAGAAGCTACTGGTAATTTTCCAAAATTACCAAAACTAGATACTTCAACGGCATGGAACAACACAATAGAACAAAATGATAATCTAAATAATCATGAAATGGTGATATCCAATGCTCTGGAGGAATTAGGCATTACGGATGACAATTTACAGCCAATATCCATTACCGAAAATGGGAAAGTGTGGGTTTGTCCTCGAGAAGACTGCTGTAGACAATTTAGTAAACTATATGCCTTGAAAGGCCATTTATTAGCTCACTACGGAGTAAGACCCTTTAAGGTAACTATGCCACTATACTTTTTTTTCATTAATACTTTTATTACAACTTCATTTACGTATATATATATATATATATTTATTTCAGTGCGACTTTGAAGGATGTGCTTGGGCATTTTATTCAGAATTTAAGCTTAAGAGGCACAAAGAGACACACTTAAAACGTAAAGACTATGTTTGCGAGGTAGAAGGTTGTAATCGTCGGTTTACAACAATTTACAATCTGTGGAGTCACGCGAAGCTACATAGTCGGCCAAATAGGATAGTGTGTCAAGTACCAGACTGCCAAGAGAAGTTCCAGACGAAGAGAGCCCTGGAACTCCACATGAAATCCCATGACCAGAGTCACGCTCCGTATGTCTGTAAACACGAGGGATGCGGGAAACGATATTATAGTAGTAATGCTTTGACGTCGCATCAAAGATGCCATAGTTATAAAGAAGTAGATGTAAAATGTTCGTGGCCGGGCTGCGGAAAAGTATTCGATAAGCCGTGCAGGCTCAAGGCCCACATACGTTCTCATACCGGTTGCAAACCTTATCTTTGTACATTTCAAGGTTGCCAGTGGGCTTTCTCATCCTCTAGCAAATTGAAGAGGCATCAGAAGAAGCACACCAACGAACGTAAATTCGTGTGCGACGTTCCCTCATGCGGGAAAGCGTTCATGAGGTCGGAACATCTCAAGGAACACAGACTGACCCACAAGGAAGGGAGATACTTTCAATGTTTTCTATGTAATGCGAAATTCTCGGCGAAAAGTAGTTTATACGTTCACATAAAGAAGCATCAAATTAAAGAGGAACTAGAACCGAATCAACGGGACGTCGTCGTTGGTGGTGGTCAGAAACGTGGTAAAGTGAAAGAACCACAATGCTCCAGGGTAAATCCGGTTGTGAAATCGAAAAGAAAGTCAATAGACCTGAATGTGAATACAGGCTTCCTAAACCCATCCGCCACCGAGAACCTCGAACCGAACGACAATAGTCTGAGAAATAACAATGAAAATCAAATTAAAATTGAACCAGTGCCTCCACAAGATCAATCCAAGACATTGTATCATTGTCCGGTTGAGACCTGTACACGTTCGTACACCACAAAAGCTACGTTAAGGGCACACATGTTGAAAGTACACGGCACACCGGTCGAAGAATGTGATAAGTCGTCGAATGCAGTGTCCGCGAGTCCAGTCTGCAATATGGATTACATTTTATACACTGCACCGTCGGTGTCGGAACCTACCGATCAAATGATAATGGTAGCGCCGTGTGATGCTGTTATACTCAGCACCTCGAATGATACAGATCGCTCTCTACCGGAACCGGAACCACCACCTCTTAACAACATACTGAAAACCACGGAACCTTCTACGAACGTTACAACGCACCAGCAGCTGTCTCATCAACACGTGAGAAAGGATCAGGGATCAGCAAGGACTGACTTAACATTCTCCGACGTGTCAAAACTGAAATCGAACGGTGCTGTTTTAGATTCTATTGTCGGAGCATCCGATGTTGTGTTAGGTGCAAGTGATATAGAGGAGGGTCTGTTGCTCACAGAGGAATTACCTTCCATGTATTATCAAGATGATGTAGTAGGAACAGAGTATCAGGTACTGTTACTTGACTCAGTACCGCCTGAAAGTACTATAAATCTTCGGGGACTTGAATAGTCGTAGACGATTTGTCTATGAAAAAGGATGAAAACCGGTCATTGTTATTTTTTAATGTAGGATAAGTTTTAATATGGTCTGTGATCAAAGGCTTGTTTTCAGCCTTCCATTCATTTATACAGCAGTCCATAATTGCTTCAAATCGTTATTTTATTAATAAATCGTTGCTATTTTTCCAGAAAGTTTGTCCGTTGTTCTTCTACTGTATATAATATAATCCTTGAACCTTGCATATACAGTGGCCAATGCGTGTATAAAAAGAAAACAAAGTTCATTACACATTTTTTGTAAATAGCATTACATGCACATTCATACATTATAAACTTTCATTTACGTCAAATTATATCTCCATTCGTATTTACAAGGATTTATTGTTGAAGAGAAGAATTTTTTAATGTTTTTTTTTATAATATTGATATAAAATGCGACGATAAAAAAAGAGAAAATAATGGACTGAAATTAAATGCTTTCACACCTGTAAACGTGTATATACCTGCATACATTAGAAACATTCTTAATACATTACTTTTTGTTTACAACCAATCTTGACATTGATTGCTAAAATTCATACTAATGGAACTATTAACCACAGTGCCTCTCCACATTTACATTCATCCTAAACTTAATTATCCAACAATTTTAGTTATTATCATTTACTAAAATCATTTTCTGATGGTTCCCTTCAATATCGTTCATTCGTGAGCTTCTATCGAACGCGAACACAATATTTAAATTTGAACGAACCCATGATACTAGTCAAACGCGCGCGCCTTACCATAAATTTATTATAAGAAGCACACGCGCAAAATGATTAACGATTACATTGCAATTATTATTGATACCGTCGAAACGATAAGTCTGATTGAATGAGCATGAAACCGGGAACCATATTTCCCTCGACTAGGCCCTATTCATATAAGTGCTTCACCATAGTAAAGATAAAAATAAAAACAAAATTGCCTAAGAAAATACTATAATACTCTGAGCTATGGTTCAAGAGCGATACAAAAACATCATTTATGGAAAAAACGCGTCGTTATAGAAATTGACCTTAACGACGCCGTTCACTCTCACACAATGTCTGCACGTTTATCTACAATGGAACTCTGTGTCAGGTCGAACGATCTACCGCCAATTTTACCGTACACCCGATGTTTCACTTTCTCGAGTAGACACATTATGGAGTACAATATGCTTATAAAGATGGCCTCGCCGACGCAGACTAACGTAGCCTGCAACGGTTTCTTCCAATCCAGGATCTTATAGATATAATGATAACCGAACCTGTCCAAACCGCCAGCCGTGTAATATACTAGCGAGAACATGACGTAAAGGAACGCTATGGTTAAACACCACCAAAAGTTCCGTAATCGAAACGGTATGCTCGTCACGCAGAAATCGACGAACATTAAAATACTGTTGCAGATGTGCAGCATTACGTTCAGTGGGTCTAAATGATGGATTTTCGGATCATAGACGCTGCACCAATACGTGATCGTGACAACGATCGCGATGTTCATGGTGACGACGAAAAGAAACCAGTAGATCCTTTCCGTGATTCCGAGAACCAAGTAGCCAGGATCGAAGTCCGCGAGTTTTTGCAGTTTCCATCGTCTCGACACCAGAAAAAGTCCGAGCGAGGCTTGACCGAGGCCCAACGCCAAGTCCCAATTGGTCAAGTAAATCGGCCATTTGTCGTACATGACCATCGGATTGAAGCTACCGAACTCGAAAATCGAACACACGACGATCACGGCCCACGCCATGAAGATCAACCCACGGTAGATTAGATACCAATTGGCTACGTGCTTCTGGCATTTCGGCTCGGTTAGAAGTCGTGCGTGCGGCGGTTCCTCCTTTCTGTAGAACCATTTCCTCGCCAAGTCCTGGCACCAGATTTTGTTTACCATCACTCGACGACCTGTAAACAATGAATTCACCCGTTATCGCGTTTCAATTGCAGAACACCTGTGAACGGTGATCAGGATCCTAATTACTTGTAATACACTGTTTGCTACACACACCCGAGAACTTTCAAAAAGTAATTTCGCAATAACTGTCTCAACGCAGAGTGATTCAATTGAGTAGGAAACTCAGAAAAGGATATCCCGTAACATATTTTCCCCTACAAGTAAAACGCCACGAAGTCCGTGTTACGCTGTTATTTTAATGACATGTAATTATCTTGTTAATTAGCAGGATTCGAATTCAACAGTAACGCCTTAATTTAGTACACATGCGTGATACACTGTTTCCGGTGGACTTCCCGCTTCGGAATTTTTCGTACGGTTCGAAATTCCACACGACGATGGGGTAAGTGTGTAAGTTGACTTGGAACGTTTTACGGGAGTACGAACTTTTTTGCGCGTGTTGTAGGGATTGCCGATACTGTTATGCTGTTTTGTGACAGGTTTTACAGGTGGTAAAGTGTAACGAGTTATCGGTTGGCGATGATTTTGAACGAACTGAAAATAACACTCACATGACGAACACTGCACGAGCAGAAAGAGAAATCGTTTCGGAATCAAGAGACTCCTGTAATGTGACGTCAACACCATCTCTCCGATGCGAGAAAGTCTCTTGTCGGAAGCCGGATAAGTGAAGTAATACCGTCACCCCAGAAATGGAAACCTAACCTGTACGTTCTGATCATTACGGACTACCGTGGACGCAGCCATATTGATTCCCGTTCAAACGGTTTTATCTCGAGCGCGAAGAACAGCGCTCTTTCAAACCCGCTAGCTCGTGTGTTTCGACGAGAATTTTTGCGCCAATCAAAAGTCCCTTGTTCAAGTACAATTGTAGTGCTTCAAGTGTACGCTGAATTTTATCGAATTATCGACAAGATATATCGTTCGTCGGAATTTACTAGGATATTCAGTTTCCATTTTTCGTGTTTAGATAAATTTATCTGAAGATAAGCGTACCCAGGAATTGTACGGACGCGTAGTAAATATTTGCATTCCTGCAATTC